CGCTGAGGATCCAAGGGTCTGAGGATACAAGGGCCTGAGGATACAAGGGCCTGAGGATACAAGGGCCTGAGGATACAAGGGCCTGAGGATACAAGGGCCTGAGGATACAAGTGTCTGAGGATACAAGAGCCTGAGGATACATGAGTCTGAGGATACAAGGGTCTGAGGATACAAGGGCCTGAGGATACAAGTGTCTGAGGATACAAAAGCCTGAGGATACATCAGTCTGAGGATACAAGGGTCTGAAGATACAAGGGCCTGAGGATACATGAGCCTGAGGATACAAGTGTCTGAGGATACAAGAGCCTGAGGATACAAGAGCCTGAGGATACGAGGGCCTGAGGATACAAGAGTCTGAGGAGGACACAAGAGCCTGAGGATACAAGAGCCTGAGGAGAACACAAGAGCCTGAGGAGGACACAAGAGCCTGAGGAGGATACAAGAGCCTGAGGAGGACACAAGAGCCTGAGGAGGATACATGAGGATGAGGAGGACACAAGAGTCTGAGGAGGACACAAGAGCCTGAGGAGGACACAAGAGCCTGAGGAGGACACAAGAGCCTGAGGAGGACACACGAGTCTGAGGAGGACACACGAGTCTGAGGAGGACACAAGAGCCTGAGGAGGACACAAGAGCCTGAGGAGGACACAAGAGCCTGAGGAGGACACAAGAGCCTGAGGAGGATACACGAGCCTGAGGAGGACACAAGAGTCTGAGGACACAAGTGTCACTGAGAATCTCGTTGGTTGCCGTGGGCCACCACAGACTGTCCGTTCTTCCTCTCAGACACTTTTATAATTGCGGTCCAGAGACAGAGCCGCAGATCCCGGGACTTACCTTTAGCTTTCTGACGCACTGATCTCAGCGCTTCTTCTTTTTCTGCGTCTTTCTTTCCTCCTATTTTTTCTTCTGTAAATGTTGAGATAAAAGTTGATAATTTGTCATCTTTCCTCTCTGAATTTCATCATTAACTAACTCGAGCTGAATTTCATCATTCATGATTTAGCCCTGGGCAAGCAGGGCTAAATCTACAGCAGAGAAGCCGCCGCTGGTTCTGTACAAGTGTCGCCGAGATCACTTGTATGCAGCCTGTCATGGTCTGCCATTCTCCATGGGGGTTCGATCCCACTCAGCTGCGCCTGAGGCGAGTGCCTCACTCGCCCCATGGTAGCTACAGCCCTGGAGAGAGCCGTGACATCTCGGCTGGCTCCGCATAACTATTGTCATTTACGGGGCGGGCGGTCTGCTTCGGCCGACTGTTCCCCACGCTTCTACTGAACCCAAGGGCTCCGGCGGCCGAAGTGAGCTGAAACTACATCTGGATCCTTCGGATCGTTAGTGACCCTCTATGACTCTGTTACATTGTATTTCCCTCCTTCGCTCTATTGATCATGGAGGTGATGTGTCTCCACCTTGTGGTTGGATTGTGAACTGTCCTCTGCTACATACTGAGCGCTTGTAATGAATGATGTCAGCAGGGCTCAGGGCCGGATTTACTCCCTCTGCTGCCCCAATACCAGGTTCCTCAATGCGCCGCGCACACCCCCCCACCCCCCACCCCTGTATGCATGCCGCATACAGGTGATCTCGGCAAGCCTAAATGTAGAAAACAACTACCCGCCCGGCGCTCAGAACTGCATGTCCCGGGAGTAGGGAGATAGAAAGTCCACACCCCTGCCGCCCCTCTACTCCCTGCCGCCCCTCTACTCCCTGCCGCCCCTCTACTCCCTGCTGCCCCGAGGCCGGGCCTCGGTTGGCCTTGTGGGAAATCCGGCCCATGTTTGGTGGAAGTTTTATTCTGGGCATCTTTTACAATTCGCAGACATGTGAATTCATTTGTAATATTCAGTTACATATCTATATTACCGTCCTGGAAGCGGCGCGTCTCTCCCTGAGGTGGTGATCTAAGCCACCAAGGACGCCGCTGGATTCCAGATTGCCAGACAGCCATGATATCTGCATTGTATCGCCACCATTGGCCTTGGCGTGTGGGTTGCAGCTGGTGCATCCGCGGGTCTTAGGTGTCCTGCTTCAAAATCTAACCCGTGAGCTGTTTTTTTTTTTTATATACCATTAAAACTGAAGTCCCTGGGCCCTCTTCTCTCTCTTTTTGTTACTATAGGCAATCTAAACCCTACCAGGATGGCATTTATTCTGTGTGCTCGCTACCATAAACGACGGATACTTGTTATCATTAGGAAAAATACTTTTTCGATCCCAGCGCAGCTCTTGTAGCCACTTCCTGCCTACATGCACTCTCTCCAGGGCCAAGCGTACACCCAGGGCCGGTGCTGCCACTAGGCACACTAGGCAGCCGCCTTCCGCCTCTAACCCCCCCCCCCCCCCATCTATTTCAAATTGCAAAAGCCAATAGCAGGCTGGCTATTGTACCCGCCCACTGAGCAGAGAAGCGGAACTGAAAGACAACTTTCTCTCTCAGGTCCGCTCATCTGCTCAGTGGGCTGGGTTTCAATAGCCAGTCTGCTATTGGCTATTTCTTTGGGGGTTGAAAGTAGCTGGTCTTGCCTAAGGTGCAAAATAGTCTAGCACCGGCCCTGCGTACACCATAGCCCTGAGTCAGCCCCCCTGAGAGTGACAATGGTGGGCCACGTCTGTGCACTGCCCATTGTAGCCTCCAACGTGGGGTGCAGGTGACACGGGGGGGACAATGCAGAACAATTGAGACCAAGCGTTGCCTCCCTATAACAGGAAGCGTCTGAACAAGGCAGGATCACCAGGGATTATAAGGAAAGCTGCGGACTTTAGAAGATTGAAAACAAATATGGAAACGGCATTGACGTGTCTGCACACCGTGATGTCCTCTCCGTGGATTTCGGTTGGACAACACACAATGAACCAATCCGTTGGAGAAAGCCGAGTAACGGAAAAGTGGTCATGTGACCAAAGGTTATCCCGCACATTGGAATGGCCTGTTTATTGGAAGGAGTTCCGTTTTTTTGTGCAGCTTACCGTAAAATAAAATGGAGAGGGCATCAGATATATAAAGTGCGCGGTAGCGAGGCTCGCTGGAGGAGCTGCTGTCCGCCCAGGAAGGGGCGGGCTGTCTGTGACATGAGCGGCTGGGGTGAAGGAATGGGACAGAAATGAGAGCGTGCGCACACAATGGTGGCATTGGTGCCCAGGCCAGATCAGCATATAACTCGCTGCCCTCGGGGACAAGGAGGTCATAGTGACGGGCAGGATCACCAAGTATTGGATCCACACTGAAACATTTTGGACATTAATGATATAATTAGACTAATTGAAGGGCGGCTTTTATGAGGAAATCGGTTTTGGGTTCACAGACACTATAAAGGAGAAGTATGAGGTGAGGGATTGTCACTCCTCCTCATAGTTGGAGCCGACGTGTGACAATGAGACTGTCACAGGTCGGCTCAGTAAATCGAGAGTTGTGTGCCGCAGCCTGGCATTGTGTGCAGCAGCCTGACATTGTGTGCCTCAGCATGGCATTGTGTGCATCAGCCTGGCATTGTGTGCAGCAGCCTGGCATTGCGTGCAGCAGCCTGGCATTGCGTGCAGCAGCCTGGCATTGCGTGCAGCAGCCTGGCATTGCGTGCAGCAGCCTGGCATTGCGTGCAGCAGCCTGGCATTGCGTGCAGCAGCCTGGCATTGCGTGCAGCAGCCTGGCATTGCGTGCAGCAGCCTGGCATTGCGTGCAGCAGCCTGGCATTGCGTGCAGCAGCCTGGCATTGCGTGCAGCAGCCTGGCATTGCGTGCAGCAGCCTGGCATTGCGTGCAGCAGCCTGGCATTGCGTGCAGCAGCCTGGCATTGCGTGCAGCAGCCTGGCATTGCGTGCAGCAGCCTGGCATTGCGTGCAGCAGCCTGGCATTGCGTGCAGCAGCCTGGCATTGCGTGCAGCAGCCTGGCATTGCGTGCAGCAGCCTGGCATTGCGTGCAGCAGCCTGGCATTGCGTGCAGCAGCCTGGCATTGCGTGCAGCAGCCTGGCATTGCGTGCAGCAGCCTGGCATTGCGTGCAGCAGCCTGGCATTGCGTGCAGCAGCCTGGCATTGCGTGCAGCAGCCTGGCATTGCGTGCAGCAGCCTGGCATTGCGTGCAGCAGCCTGGCATTGCGTGCAGCAGCCTGGCATTGCGTGCAGCAGCCTGGCATTGCGTGCAGCAGCCTGGCATTGCGTGCAGCAGCCTGGCATTGCGTGCAGCAGCCTGGCATTGCGTGCAGCAGCCTGGCATTGCGTGCAGCAGCCTGGCATTGCGTGCAGCAGCCTGGCATTGCGTGCAGCAGCCTGGCATTGCGTGCAGCAGCCTGGCATTGCGTGCAGCAGCCTGGCATTGCGTGCAGCAGCCTGGCATTGCGTGCAGCAGCCTGGCATTGCGTGCAGCAGCCTGGCATTGCGTGCAGCAGCCTGGCATTGCGTGCAGCAGCCTGGCATTGCGTGCAGCAGCCTGGCATTGCGTGCAGCAGCCTGGCATTGCGTGCAGCAGCCTGGCATTGCGTGCAGCAGCCTGGCATTGCGTGCAGCAGCCTGGCATTGCGTGCAGCAGCCTGGCATTGCGTGCAGCAGCCTGGCATTGCGTGCAGCAGCCTGGCATTGCGTGCAGCAGCCTGGCATTGCGTGCAGCAGCCTGGCATTGCGTGCAGCAGCCTGGCATTGCGTGCAGCAGCCTGGCATTGCGTGCAGCAGCCTGGCATTGCGTGCAGCAGCCTGGCATTGCGTGCAGCAGCCTGGCATTGCGTGCAGCAGCCTGGCATTGCGTGCAGCAGCCTGGCATTGCGTGCAGCAGCCTGGCATTGCGTGCAGCAGCCTGGCATTGCGTGCAGCAGCCTGGCATTGCGTGCAGCAGCCTGGCATTGCGTGCAGCAGCCTGGCATTGCGTGCAGCAGCCTGGCATTGCGTGCAGCAGCCTGGCATTGCGTGCAGCAGCCTGGCATTGCGTGCAGCAGCCTGGCATTGCGTGCAGCAGCCTGGCATTGCGTGCAGCAGCCTGGCATTGCGTGCAGCAGCCTGGCATTGCGTGCAGCAGCCTGGCATTGCGTGCAGCAGCCTGGCATTGCGTGCAGCAGCCTGGCATTGCGTGCAGCAGCCTGGCATTGCGTGCAGCAGCCTGGCATTGCGTGCAGCAGCCTGGCATTGCGTGCAGCAGCCTGGCATTGCGTGCAGCAGCCTGGCATTGCGTGCAGCAGCCTGGCATTGCGTGCAGCAGCCTGGCATTGCGTGCAGCAGCCTGGCATTGCGTGCAGCAGCCTGGCATTGCGTGCAGCAGCCTGGCATTGCGTGCAGCAGCCTGGCATTGCGTGCAGCAGCCTGGCATTGCGTGCAGCAGCCTGGCATTGCGTGCAGCAGCCTGGCATTGCGTGCAGCAGCCTGGCATTGCGTGCAGCAGCCTGGCATTGCGTGCAGCAGCCTGGCATTGCGTGCAGCAGCCTGGCATTGCGTGCAGCAGCCTGGCATTGCGTGCAGCAGCCTGGCATTGCGTGCAGCAGCCTGGCATTGCGTGCAGCAGCCTGGCATTGCGTGCAGCAGCCTGGCATTGCGTGCAGCAGCCTGGCATTGCGTGCAGCAGCCTGGCATTGCGTGCAGCAGCCTGGCATTGCGTGCAGCAGCCTGGCATTGCGTGCAGCAGCCTGGCATTGCGTGCAGCAGCCTGGCATTGCGTGCAGCAGCCTGGCATTGCGTGCAGCAGCCTGGCATTGCGTGCAGCAGCCTGGCATTGCGTGCAGCAGCCTGGCATTGCGTGCAGCAGCCTGGCATTGCGTGCAGCAGCCTGGCATTGCGTGCAGCAGCCTGGCATTGCGTGCAGCAGCCTGGCATTGCGTGCAGCAGCCTGGCATTGCGTGCAGCAGCCTGGCATTGCGTGCAGCAGCCTGGCATTGCGTGCAGCAGCCTGGCATTGCGTGCAGCAGCCTGGCATTGCGTGCAGCAGCCTGGCATTGCGTGCAGCAGCCTGGCATTGCGTGCAGCAGCCTGGCATTGCGTGCAGCAGCCTGGCATTGCGTGCAGCAGCCTGGCATTGCGTGCAGCAGCCTGGCATTGCGTGCAGCAGCCTGGCATTGCGTGCAGCAGCCTGGCATTGCGTGCAGCAGCCTGGCATTGCGTGCAGCAGCCTGGCATTGCGTGCAGCAGCCTGGCATTGCGTGCAGCAGCCTGGCATTGCGTGCAGCAGCCTGGCATTGCGTGCAGCAGCCTGGCATTGCGTGCAGCAGCCTGGCATTGCGTGCAGCAGCCTGGCATTGCGTGCAGCAGCCTGGCATTGCGTGCAGCAGCCTGGCATTGCGTGCAGCAGCCTGGCATTGCGTGCAGCAGCCTGGCATTGCGTGCAGCAGCCTGGCATTGCGTGCAGCAGCCTGGCATTGCGTGCAGCAGCCTGGCATTGCGTGCAGCAGCCTGGCATTGCGTGCAGCAGCCTGGCATTGCGTGCAGCAGCCTGGCATTGCGTGCAGCAGCCTGGCATTGCGTGCAGCAGCCTGGCATTGCGTGCAGCAGCCTGGCATTGCGTGCAGCAGCCTGGCATTGCGTGCAGCAGCCTGGCATTGCGTGCAGCAGCCTGGCATTGCGTGCAGCAGCCTGGCATTGCGTGCAGCAGCCTGGCATTGCGTGCAGCAGCCTGGCATTGCGTGCAGCAGCCTGGCATTGCGTGCAGCAGCCTGGCATTGCGTGCAGCAGCCTGGCATTGCGTGCAGCAGCCTGGCATTGCGTGCAGCAGCCTGGCATTGCGTGCAGCAGCCTGGCATTGCGTGCAGCAGCCTGGCATTGCGTGCAGCAGCCTGGCATTGCGTGCAGCAGCCTGGCATTGCGTGCAGCAGCCTGGCATTGCGTGCAGCAGCCTGGCATTGCGTGCAGCAGCCTGGCATTGCGTGCAGCAGCCTGGCATTGCAAGCTATTAGTCAATCTGTGGTCTACAATGACCCCCAAATCTTTTTCCATCTCTGACTTCCCCGGTGGGGTTCCTATTATTGTGTATAGTCCATTTGCTTTTTTTTAACCCCAAAGTGCATAACTTTACATTTATTGACATTAAACCTCATCTGCCATATAGTTGCCCCTCCCCCTATTTTATCCAGGTCCTCCTGTAATGTTATCATTGTGTGCCGCAGCCTGGCATTGTGTGCCGCAGCCTGGCGTTGTGTGCCGCAGCCTGGCATTGTGTGCCCCAGCCTGACATTGTGTGCCGCAGCCTGGCATTGTGTGCCGCAGCCTGGCGTTGTGTGCCGCAGCCTGGCGTTGTGTGCCGCAGCCTGGCATTGTGTGCAGCAGCCTGGCATTGCAAGCTATTAGTCAATCTGTGGTCTACAATGACCCCCAAATCTTTTTCCATCTCTGACTTCCCCGGTGGGGTTCCTATTATTGTGTATAGTCCATTTGCTTTTTTTTAACCCCAAAGTGCATAACTTTACATTTATTGACATTAAACCTCATCTGCCATATAGTTGCCCCTCCCCCTATTTTATCCAGGTCCTCCTGTAATGTTATAGTGTCTATGACCCTCCCGATTTTAGTGTCATCATGGTGGTCATCCTTTAGTATGTAGCTTGGCTAGCTCAGGTTCCTCTGTTTATTCTGTATGATGGGTGGTCCGCCCTCCCCATAGAAGTCTCACACCAATTCTTCTTCTGAACAAACTCTTTACAGAGAACTTTCCAGAAAGATGATTTCTGCCACCGCAAGCCAACTTTCATGTATTTGGCACCATTCGGATTGATCGTTTTTGTAGAACATTTCATTGAATATTCTCAAAAAATAATCCCATCCGCACCGAAGATGGAGAAGAACTCACCTGTAACTCCTACGACCTATGACCTATGACCTACCTATGAAGGGGAGGATGCCGCTGCCGATGTTATGGAGTCCTTCCTTCCAGTTTCCTAGAAAATACAATAATTAGGAGCCATCAGACCTTCCTGGAGGACCATTATTGTTATGTACAGCAGAGTCCATCTCAGGAGATAGAAGAGGGGGACCAGGTGGGACATAGTGGGACCTGGTGGGAGGTAGTGGGACCTGGTGGGATATAGTGGGATCTGGTGGGAGGTAGTGGGACCAGGTGGGACATAGAGGGACCTGGTGGGAGGTAGTAGGACCTGGTGGGAGGTAGTGGGACCAGGTGGGAGATAGTGGAACCTGGTGGGAGATAGTGGAACCCGGTGGGACATAGTGGGAGGTAGTGGGACCTGGTGGGAGATAGTGGAACCTGGTGGGAGGTAGTGGGACCTGGTGGGACATAGTGGAACCTGGTGGGATATAGTGGGACCTGGTGTGACATAGTGGGACCTGGTGGGAGGTAGTTGGACCAGGTGGGAGATAGTGGGGCCTGGTGGGAGGTAGTGGGACCTGGTAGAACACAGTGGGACCTGGTGGGACACAGTGGGACCTGGTGGAACACAGTGGGTCCTGGTGGAACACAGTGGGACATAGTGGAAACTGGTGGGACAAGGTGGGACATAGTGGGACCTGGTGGGAGATAGTGGGGCCTGGTGGGAGGTAGTGGGACCTGGTGGGAGATAGTGGGACCTGGTGGGAGAGAGTGGGACGTGGTGGGAGGGATCATAGTGGGACCTGGTGGGACATATTGGGACCTGGTGGGAGGTAGTGGGACCTGGTGGGAGATAGTGGGGCCTGGTGGGAGGTAGTGGGACCGGCAGTCAAGCTGAGGGTGCTTAGGGAACTGCAGAAGCACATATAAGGCAGGAACTGCTTTTGGAGAAGCCTTGTGGTCTCTTTCTCCCAGAAGTCTTTTGGGAATCCAAACTGCCTGAAAACAAGACTGAAATGCGGATTGAGATCTGACCATTCGTGTCCGTAACATTCTTCCTAATTTTAATGTGATCCAAAATTTGGAATTCACTCCACTTGTCACTGCAGATTATGTGAATACACCACAATGCCCACAAGCTTTGTCTTATTACTTCCCTTCCAACAATTCCATAGAAACTCTTTAATTTAAAGTTCTGGAGAGAACAAAAGAGCAGAAGCGTCACAAGGGGGGTATCTTGTACCTCGGCCTGGACTCCCCTTCTGGTATCGTTTCCCCGCTATTGGGTTCCACTGCAGCAAACAGGGGGACTCAGCCCCCTCCCTAACAATTCCCCATTTGTTGGCCATGTGTGGTCACAATGCCAATTTATTTTGTTGCTTCCGTATTGTCAAGTCAATGTATTGTTTCCAGGATCCTATGACCACGTAATTGAATCTCCTGCAGGGCCCGTCAGTATTAAACCCCAGCGCTGTTAGCCCCATATTCAGCCGTGACGCACAATATGCTCTGCTGTTACACCATTGCTGTCATCTCAGATTGGTACACTGCAGCCACCGTTATTTTCCCCTTTCCTCTCCGTACTCCGGTTTCCTCCCACATGCCAAGGACATACTGGAAGGTTACTTGGCTCCTCTCTAAATTGGCCCTCGTATGTACACTATATCACCAGAAGTATTGGGGCCCCTTTACACGCACATGAACTTTAATGGCATCCCAGTCTTAGTCCGTAGGGTTCAGTATTGGGTTGGCTCCGCCCTTTGCCGCTATAACAGCTCCGCCTCTTCTGGGAAGGCGTCCACAAGGTTTAGGGGTGTGTCTATGGGAATGTTGGACCATTTGTGAGGTCAGGTACTGATGTTGGGGGAGGGGCTCGCAGTCTCCGCCTCGAATTCATCCCAAAAGTGCTCTATGGGGGTGAGGTCAGGACTCTGTGCGGCCAGTCACGTTCCTCCCCCCCAAACTCCCCCATCCGTGTCTTTATGGGCCTTGCTTTGTGCACTGGTGCGCAGTCATGTTGGAACAGGAAGGGGCCGTCCCCAAACTCCTCCCACAAAGTTGGGAGCATGAAATTGTCCAAAATGTCTTGGTGTGCTGATAAGAGTTCCCTTCACTTGAACTAAGGGGCGGAGCCCAACGTGTGAAAAACAAGCCCCTCCCCCATAATCCCCCCTCCACCAAACTTTACACTTGGCACCATGCAGTCAGGCAAGTACCGTTCCCCTGGCAACCGCCAAACCCAGACACGCCCATCGGATTGCCAGACAGAGAAGCGTGATTGGTCCCTCCAGAGACCACGCCTCCACTTCTCTAGAGTCCAGTGTCGGCGCGCTTTACACCGCGGCATCCCACGCTTTGCATTGCACTTGGTGATGTGCGGCTTGGATGCAGCTGCTTGGCCATGGAAACCCATTCCATGAATCTCTCTACGCGCTGTTGTTGCGCCAATCTGAAGGCCGCATGGAGTTTGGAGGTCTGTAGCTATTGGCTCTGCAGACAGTTGGCGACTTCTGCGCACTGTGCGCTTCAGCATGCGCTGACCCCGCTCTGTCATGTGACGTGGCCGACCACTTCCTGGCTGAGTTGCTGTTGTTCCCAGTCGCTTCCACTTTGTTATAATCCCAGTAACAGGTGACGGCGGAATATTTAGTAGCCGGGAAATGTCACGGAACACCTGAGTCACATGATTTGGAGGGGGAGGGGCCCAATACTTTCGGCAATATAGTGTTGCGTGTGCGCGACTGTGACCTTACATTGTAAGCTCCTTGGGGGCGGGGACTGATGTGAATGCGCACTGTGTAAAGTGCTGCATAAAATTGTCAGCGCTCTATAAATACCGGTAATCATAGATAAATGTCATCTTCAGCATGTGTGCTACTAATTCTCCGCCGACGTTCTTTACATGGTTTGTCTTTTGTATTATAACTTGAGTTTCAGGATTTGGGGTTCACTTATATCCCCGACACCAGCCCGGCACCTATAAAAAAAACAAAATGGCGGAAGCCGTCCCTGTCCACGCCTATGCTTCCCAGCAGCCGGACTTATACCCGAGTCTTATACATGAAGGATGAATCTCTAGATACTCACGTCTACAACAGAAGCATGTACAGAGGCAGCACAGGATCCCGGTCGCCATAAACGCGTTCGCAACTCCACCCAAAAGCTTGGCCACTGTAAGGTGAAGCAGAGGAGGAGCGGGCGTTAGTGCTCGTAGCTGGGTCGCAGTCCATGCAATGAGTGCCGCCGCAGGGTAATAGTTTGGCTGTGGGATGATACCGGTGATGAAGGTCAAAGCCTCATATCCTTCAAAGTCATGACTCCATCATTTATGGGTGCGACGGACTCCCTGATCCCCCGACTGGATATCGCCGTCTTAAAGGACATTTCCACCTTTGTAAGTGATTCTGAGTTTTTGGTGGCAATGGGGAGGTGCAGGGGCGATGTACATGTGTGTGTGCGGGGGGGATGTTCCGAGAGTAGATGTGACCCAGGATAAGGGGGAGATCTGAGAGAGACACAGGGGGTCACTTGTCTTGTTCTATAGACTTCTCTCTGTGTCCTCCCAACACTGACACAGACACACAGAGCTATGACCCATCCTGCCGTCTCTCCACAGAGCAGAGAGGGGAGGGGGGGCAGGAGGAGGGGGGAAACAGCTGATGGAATTTTAGAGGATTGAAGATCTTGTGGAGGGAATTTTGAATTTCTTGGCCTCTGGCCTGTAAAAGAATCTATAAAATAAAAAAAAGGGGAGGGGCTGGATTCCCCCCTCCCCGTTCCGATCCTCCAGCACTGACTGGCGGAACGGACGGGGGAGGGTACAGCTGCCTCTAGATAGGAGGAGCCAGCTGTCACTCACGCAGCTGGGCGGATCCCGGCACAATTGTCGGGATCCGCTCCGGCTGCGGCGTCTCAGTATACCGCGAGCTGTAGCTCCCTATATACTGAGCTTAGGGTGACGGGAGGACGCTAGTTTGTGTCCTCCCGTTACCCTAAGGAGAACTATGGGGAAAAGCCTTAACCCCATAGTTCTCCTTTAAATTAAAGTGGAGCAACTCCCTTGATAAATTCCCCCCGGTGTATCATATTTGTATCACTCGGCTGTAGATCCTCCAATCATCTCTGACCCCGTCCTTCCTTCTGGAGGGTGGCTACGTCTGTTCCCCATGGTCCTTGTGTGCCGTGTCGTCGCTCCAAGCTTGCTTCCGGGATGGGCTACAATCTCAATACAAATTAGTAAACTGAACCTGAGATTTTAGTCCATCCCGGGGGGGAGGAGCTTGGAACAGTGACTACTCTACAACACACACAGGGACCATGGGGAACAGACGTAGCCACCCTCCAGAAGGAAGGACGGTGTCAGAGATGATTGGAGGATCTACAGCCGAGTGATACACAAATAATATTCATTGGTGCTCATAGTTCAGGGACTTGAATGGATTTTGGGGATTCAGCCCCTGAGATAAGTGTCACTTTAAGCTACACAAGTTGGTCCGGGATCCAACCCCAGCCCGGCGATTGTTCAATGGAGGAGCAGCAGCACAGGGATGTAAGTATCCTCACACTGCCACAATGACATCACTGTTCAAAGCAATGCAATGGAGTCCTGGTTGGTTTAAGGACCTAAAATGTACCTACTGTGGTAAAGCTAGGTACCCATACATGATCTGAGCATTCCCTTTAAGAATATTGAGTAAGGACCTTCAGAAATGGTATTATCCTCCGGCCAAACTTTGTGGCACTCATTGTAATGGTTCAAGTGGTCCAAGAATGGTTTGAGGAACACAACAACGAGTCTGAGGTGATGACTCGGCCTCCAAATTCTCCAGATCTGAATCCAATCGATCATCTGTGGGATGTGCTGGAGAAACAAGTCCGATCCATGGAGGCCGATCACCTCACAACTTACAGGACTTCCAGGATCTGATACTGAGGGCTCGGTGCCAGATACCACAGCACACCTTCAGAGGTCTAGTGGGGTCCATGTCTGGACGGGTCAGTAGAAGGGGGACCTACTCAATATTAGGGGGGTCATCCAGATACCACAGCATACCTTCAGAGGTCTAGTGGGGTCCATGTCTGGACGGGTCAGTAGAAGGGGGACCTACTCAATATTAGGGGGGTCATCAGATACCACAGCATACCTTCAGAGGTCTAGTGGGTTCCATGACTGGATGGGTCAGGAAAAGGGGGACCTTCTCAATATTAGGGGGGTCATCCAGATACCACAGCATACCTTCAGAGGTCTAGTGGGTTCCATGACTGGATGGGTCAGGAAAAGGGGGACCTTCTCAATATTAGGGGGGTCATCCAGATACCACAGCATACCTTCAGAGGTCTAGTGGGTTCCATGACTGGATGGGTCAGGAAAAGGGGGACCTTCTCAATATTAGGGGGGTCATCCAGATACCACAGCATACCTTCAGAGGTCTAGTGGGTTCCATGACTGGATGGGTCAGGAAAAGGGGGACCTTCTCAATATTAGGGGGGTCATCCAGATACCACAGCATACCTTCAGAGGTCTAGTGGGTTCCATGACTGGATGGGTCAGGAAAAGGGGGACCTTCTCAATATTAGGGGGGTCATCCAGATACCACAGCATACCTTCAGAGGTCTAGAGGAGTCCATGCCTGGATGGGTCAGGAGAAGGGGGACCTACTCAATATTAGAGTCTTGGTTGATCCGTTAGAGATATGTTTCATTACAGGCGATTACATGAATACTATACAGCTGATCATTGCTGTTCATTCGAGGTGGGAGAATGACACCTTCGTGACGTCATATGTGGGCGGGGGGGAGCTTCTTGATTGGCGGAAGGGTCGTTATCAATGTGTATTGCAAAACTTGTATTGTATTGTTGCTTCACTCTCTGTTTGCCCGAGGAAGGGGCCGCATGTGGGGGGGGGGGGGGTCATAATGTTATGGCTGATATATGTATATGAATACACACATATGTATATGGATTTCAGCTGCTTCCCCACCTCGCTGGCACCACCCTGCGGTGGAGGACTCCATGCACGTCTCCAGAGATACTCACATACACCAAACACGCAGAGGTACAGGAGCGCAAGAACCCCGACAATAACTCCAACCACTATCCAAGCAATAACACACCCGCTCAAGCCTTTGCGCTCTGTAAGATAAAACAGGAAAGGACATCGGTGTTCGGGGGTCATACACACTATTATATTTCATGACATTTAATATATTTTTCGGGTTATTTTTCACTTTAACATTTTTGATCAAATTTGTAAATTTTTTTTCCCCCTACATATTGCAAAGCAAAGCGACAGCTGCAGCCAGCAGGTTTGTTTGTACACAGACCTCGTGTGATTGCCACGATTGGCTACGACGGTGGTCACATGATCAGAAACCGCTCAGGACTCAGAGCATAGCACATAGCGGCACGCTCATAGTTCTAAAATGGAATGTAGATTAAAGGAGAACTATGAGGGGGGGGGGGCTTGTCACTCACCTCATAGTTCTAGCCGACCTGCGGCAATGAGACTGTCAGAGGTCGGCTCAGTAGATCGGGAGGCGAGGGAACACATACCGGCACTCGCTCACTTCTCGATCCTGTCAGGGGAAGGGCTGGATTCCCCCCCGCTCCGACCCGCCAGCGCTGACTGGCGGAACTGACGGACGGGGTCAGTCACGCAGCTTGGCGGATCATCACATGCGGAATGCTCAGGAAACATTTTCTGTACAAAAGGAAAAACCACTTGGCTTTGTTTTCTAATAAGGTCATGTGATCACCGTGTCGGCTCTGTCATTGTGATCACATGGCTTTGTTTTCTAATAAGGTCATGTGATCACTGTGTCGGCTCTGTCATTGTGATCACATGGCTTTGTTTCCTAATAAGGTCATGTGATCACCGTGTCAGCTCTGTCATTGTAATCACATGGCTTTGTTTCCTAATAAGGTCATGTGATCACCGTGTCGGCTCTGTCATTGTAATCACATGGCTTTGTTTTCTAATAAGGTATTGTGATCAGGGCCGGATTTCCCACAAGGCCAACTAAGGCCCGGCCTCGGGGCAGCAGGGAGTAGTTTTCTACATTTAGCCCGGCTTTTGGCAAGCTGAGCTAAATGTACAGCGGGGAAGCTGCCGCTTGGTTTGTACAAGTGATCTCGGCAAGGTCACCGAGATCACTTGTATGCAGCCTGCATACAGGGGGGGGCGCATTGAGGAACCTGGCATTGGGGCAGCAGAGAGAGTAAATCCGGCCCTGCATGTGATCACCAGGTCAGCTCTGTCATTTTGATCACATGGCTTTGTTTTTAAACAAAGGGTTAGCAATAGGGTCGGTGTGTGGCATGGCATAAGGGAGAGGGTTGGAATTAGGGTTAGGTATGTTATTAGGAATGAATTTAACATTAGGGTTAGGCATGGCATTAGGGAGAAGGTTAGAGTTAGGGTTAGGCATGTTAGCATTAGGGTTAGAAATGGCATTACAGATAGGATTAGCACTAGGGTAACCATTGGGGTCAGGTATGTGTTAGAGTTAGGGTTAGCATGAGATATGGGGTTATGGTTATTGTTAGCATCATGGTTAGTGTTAGGATTGTGGTCACATTAATGCTGAATTAGAGCTATTGTTGGCATAAGAATTAGGAATAGGATTATGGATAGCATTAGGGTTAGGTATAACATTAGGACCAGGGTTAGCATTAGGACCAGGGTTAGCATTAGGACCAGGGTTAGCATTAGGACCAGGGTTAGCATTAGGAATCAGGAGAACATTGGGGGTTCCTAAGTTTCAGGTTGATAAGGGGTCATTTTATGGCACATGAACAGTCTGAGGGTAAGGGTGTAAAGGCTCTTACTGTTCATGATTGCTCGAAGCCAACAATAAACCTTGTATTTGACCGTCCCCATTTGCTTCAAAACGCTTTTCGTCAAAATGGTGAAAAATATTGGTGACCCCTAGTCGATACTCACTGACACTTTGATGGCAGCAAGAGGCACCGTGGAAGCCTTATACTCTTTTCTAAGCGGGGGGGTTAGCAGTCCGGCAAGCAGGCCCGGATTCCCCACAAGGCCACCGAGGCCCGGACTCAGGGCGGCAGGGCGCAGAGGGGCGGCAGCGGTGTCCTTGTGGGGAAGTTGCGGGCGCTGGGCGGTAAGTTGCTTTGCACAAGCCGAGCTAAATGTAGAGTGAGGGGA